TCTCCTTCTCCCTTCGTCACCCCCACTCATGCACATTAAGTTGCAAATTGTGCAAGTCTTTGAACAGGTGGGGTAATATCGAGAAATGCCGGACCAGCAAAAATGTAATAGAATGTTCAAGAAGATCCCATCCTGTGAGATACGGTGTCAGAAGCATTTCTTTTAGGCCTTTGGCCTCAACAGTTTAGTTTTTAATGCATTAGAAGGCATAGTCTCGGAGTTATTTAACTTTTTTTTTTTCGTGAATTTTTCCGATATTTTAATAGTTATTTTGCTATTCCGGGCGGAGATGAATCCAACAAATCATAGATAATTAAAATTGGTCCAGCTGTTCTTGAGGTATAAATGGTGTGACTAACACAATTTTATATATATATATATATATATATATATATATATAATATTAATTATATTCAACACGTTCTGAAATGACAATAAACATGTTGAATAATTGTATGTGGTGCAGTTGCTAATGAGGTATTGAAAACCGTATTTTGGAAATGTTTTCCAACCGAGAGTTTCATATGCAGTGGTGATTATATTACAATGGTTTAATTGAAAAGAAGAAAAAACAAATTAAAATTATTCAATTGTTTACTTATCTATGTGTATAAGTAATGTGTATTTTTTATATACAAGAAAAAGTGGCAGACATACAGTACTGAAGAGTAAATCAATAGAACAAATTAAAAAGAAGTAGTGTTTGTGAACTTTCGAGAGATTGCTGTTGGAAGAAAACTACACTTATTCCCGTGGATGTCGCGTTTCCTTATTGTGCACTGTAGCGTGTTTACGTAGCAGAGCTGTCGTTCGTGTCGTCCTTTCGAAGGCCACGTGTCGCCGCGGGCGATAGCGACTGAAGGAAGCGAGCTGACGCCGACGCCGACGCCGCCTCATGGAACCTGACGGCGCGCCTCCATCGTGCTCGCCCTCTCCCGGTTGGCGGCTCCGGTCGTGGGGATGCATCGCTTAATAAACGGGGACAGTGAAATAGTTCTTCAGAAATATTGAATCCTACATTAAATAGGCACATCCCTAGGTATTTTAGATACCTAGAAAGCAATGGAAGACGTACGAAAGTTGTAAATCTCTTCCGTCAAGATGAAGTGAAATTTCTTGTTAATACTGTTTTCGTTTTTCGGGTCCTTACCTTCATGGTTCTTCCCCGAGTTTTTGGTATCCCTATTCATGTCCATAAACGTGCCATGTTCGAATGAATAGCCTAATTTTGAAGGGCTTGGGGCTGTAACAAGAAAAACCATACCAGCCACAGAAAGTCTTCTGTTAGTCGTACATGTTAAAATCTCTATATTT